GCCCGGGTCCCAGTGCCTGTGGGCAGCCGGAGGAGGGAAGCCCGGGTCCCAGGTGCCGAAGGGAAGCCGGTGCCAGCAGCCAGGGGAAGGAAGACCTACTTTTGCACGAATTTTCATGCATTGGGCCTCTAGCTAGTACATAAAAGTGCCATATCAATGCTAACTTTCTAAATTTGATAGCTGTATGTGGTAATACAAGAAAATGAGTCTTTTTTTTTTAAGGAAACACACACAGAAGTATTTATGGGAGAGGGCTATCATGTCTGCAACTTACTCTCAAAACAGTTCAGAAAAAAATTATTTATACCCATACCAATAATTTTTATAAATAATGTTATAGAAAGATGATAAAGCAGAACAAATATGGGAATCTGTTATACAATTATTTATACAATTTTGTAACTTTTCTGTAGGTCCTACATATTCAAAAGTATAAAGCAGCTCTAGCCGGTTTGGCTCAGTGGCTAAAGCATCGGCCTGAGGACCAAAGGGTCCAGGGTCGGATTCCGGTCAAGGGCATGTACCTCGGTTGCAGGCTCCTCCCCGGCCGAGGCCCTGGTCAGTGCTCCTGCAGGAGGCAACCAATTGATGTGTTTCTCTCACATGGATGTTTCTGTCTTTCCCTCTCTCTTTCACTCTCCCTAAAAATCAATGGAAAAATATCCTCGGGTGAGGATTAACAAAAACCAACAACAAAAAAACAAAAAACTAAATAAATAATTAAAATATGAAGTAAAAGCCCTGACCGGTGTGGCTCAGTGGATAGAGCGTCGGCCTGCAGACTCAAGGGTCCCAGGTTTGATTCCGGTCAAGGGCATGTACCTTGGTTGCAGGCACATCCCAGTGGGGGGTGTGCAGGAGGCAGCTGATCGATGCTTCTCTCTCATCGATGTTTCTAACTCTCTATCCCTCTCCCTTCCCCTCTGTAAAAAATCAATAAAATATATTTTAAAAAAACAAAATAAAATAAAATATGAAGTAAAAAATTTAAACACTAGCAATTATTATCTTATCTAATTTACAGAGTTAGAAAAGTAATGAGCAAAGACAGGAAGGGTCTTGCCAAGACCACCCAGCTGATAAACGCCAGAGCCAGGGCTGGACCCAGCCCCTCTCCCCTGGGCCGCTGTCCCCAAAATGGATCCCGAAACGACTCCCTCCCGGGGTGTCCTTCGTCCTCTCTCCCCCACCACGGGAGGATCCTCCAGGTGACCTGCCCGAAAGCCCATGGGCTCTGCTCCCTCGAGCCCCAGGGTCTCCGGTGAGGGCCCTGTCACTCAGGAGCGGAGCCTCACCTTCCAGCATCCGCAACTGACGCTGCCGCTGCAGCTCTTGAGGGTTGAGGGAGGTGTTGCAGGCTGACAGCAAGTAGAGGTAGGCCCGGTCACCATCCCGCCGCACGCCATGCGAGTGCAGTGTCTCCTGGTCCCGGGCCAACCGCTGCCCAATCACCCACTGCTGCAGCGCTGGCGGGAAGCCATAGTCCAGGAACACCTAGGGGAGTGGGGAGGGGTATGGGGGAAGACCAGGGAGAGTCAGAGCCAAATGGGAAGCCTCCGCCCTGATGTCTCCCCTCAGCCTCCTCACTCACCATGTCCTTGAGGGAAGCCACGGTCATGTCAGGTCGCACTGTGAGCCAGATGGTGACAGTGTGCATCTGAGCGTCCTCCACACTCACCCACAGCCTGCAGAGGAGAACTGGGGAGTAACACGGGCTCGGGCTGCAGGTCCCCTCAGCCGCCAGCTATCCACATGGACATGTTTGTACACTTGTGCATGACATGAACACACACACACACACACAACACACACACACACACACACACACACACACAGGCCCACTCCCACACCATCCCCCCGTGTGTCAGGGGCCTCTCCTGGATTCTCGCACCCCTGTGCTTCCTTTATCAGAGCCCACTGCTTAGCCCCTGCATTGGCTGCACAGTGCTCCTGGAATACATCCACACTCACCGTGCACACAGGGCCTCTGTGACTGCCCCCTCACTACCTCTCTAGCCTTTCTATCCTTCTCTCCCTTGCTCCCTAACGAAGCCACCCAGTTATTTACCATATGCCCAGACTCTGCAAAGCGCTTGACATGCATTAACTCACTTAATCCTCTCAGCATACCCATGAGGCAGGTACGTTGTTATCCCTAATTTACAGATACAAACATGAGCCCAGCCCTAGCCGGTTTGGCTCAGAGGATAGAGCGTCGGCCTGTGAACTGAAGGGTCCCAGGTTCGATTCCGGCCAAGGGCACATGCCTGGGTTGTGGGCTCGATACCCAGTGGGGGGCTTGCAGGAGGAAGCCGATCAATGATTCTCTCTCATCATTGATGTTTCTCTCTCTCTCTCTCTCTCCTTTTTCCTTCCTCTCTGAAATCAATAAAGATATATTTTTTAAAAAACACAAATGTATAAAAAACAAAACAAAACATGAGCCCAGACAGGTTACCGTGACTTTGCCAAGTAAGCAATTTATAACTGTTAGAGGCAGGATTTCAATCCAAACAGTCTAATTCCAGAGAAATGGTTTTAAACACATCCCTTTCAAGGATCCCAAAATGTTTTTGGAAGACCAAAAGCATAAAAAGGGAAAGCTAAGCCGCAGCCCGTGTGGCTCAGCGGATAGAGCGCTGGCCTGAGGACTGAAGGGTCCCAGGTTCGATTCCAGGCAAGGGCATATACCTGCGTCCCCTGCCCTGGTGGGGGTTGGGGGATGCAGGAAGCAACCAATTGATGTGTCTCTATTACATCAATGTTTCTCTCTCTCTTGCTCCCCCTTCCTTCTACTCTCTCTAAAAATCAATGGAAAAATAGTAACAACAAAACAAAAAAAGGGGGGGGGAGCTAAGATGAAAAACCAGAAATGAGGCCAGAAGAACCGGATAAATTAGGGTACAAAACAATAACAGTAAAGTCTACTTCACATCGTCAGAGAGATTTGGGAGAACACTGCATCCATAAAGGAAGAACAGCCAGAAGCAATCATAAAATGAGGAAGAATTCCTGAAAATTTACAAAGTGACTCCGGATTAACCTAGCCTTTAGATCCAACTACAAGTCCACAAGAAAAACGGGAGGTATTAAATGACACCCTGAGGAGGCAATTAATAAATCCAGAATGTAGGAAATTTCTAAAAGTCCAAGACCAATTTTCTTTAAAAAAAATTAATGGCATAAAAATAGAGGAGAATAAAACAGGCTTAGACAATATTAAGAAACACTATGTATAGATCTCATTTTGTTCCTGATTGGAACAAACCAAGTATAAAAAACAGTAATGAGATAATTAGGGAAATCTGAATATAAACAGAGTATTTGGGGATTTAAAGGAATTAGTAATTTGTGAAAATGGTTTTGAGGTTATTTTTAAGTCCTTACTTTTTAAAAGATATCAAATTATTCAGGAATGAAATATCTGAGATTTGCTTTCAAATACTCCAGAAAATACTCTCAAAATTCCTCAGGATAATGATTGTCAACACCCAACCAACTATCAATGACATGAGGGCAAAATACAGAAATTTTTATACATGTAAAGACTTCCAAAGTTTAGCATCCACTTTCCCATAAGAAAAGTTTTTGAAATATAATAAGAATAGCCTGGCCAGCATGGCTCAGTGGTTGAGCATCGACTTATGAACCAGGAGCTCACGGTTCAATTCCCGGTCAGGGCACATGCCCGGGTTGTGGGCTCCATCCCCAGTAGGAGGTGTGCAGGAAGCAGCCAATCAATGATTCTCTCTCATCACAGATGTTTCTATCTCTCTCTCCTTCTCATTTCCTCTCTGAAATCAATAAAAATATATTTTAAAAATAAAATGCTGTTTGGTATAATAGGTATAAAATAAATTCTGTGGAAGAGGGAAAACAATAACTGTTCTATTGGCAAGAATATATTATGGCCCACGAGGGTGCAGCAAGCCCTATGTCCCTGGCCAGCCATGCACTCCTCACCTGATGTCCTGTGTTGGGGAGATCTCAGGCTTCAGCTGCACCCTCAGGGGTACCCGTTGCTCTGCCAGCCAGGTGGCACACTCCATAGCCACCTGTTCATCCCCACCTGCCACTGCTCGGCTGAGTCTCAGGGCCATCTCCTCGGCTAAAATTCAACACAGTGGAAGCAAGTTAGCACAGGGTTTATTTCACAGGATCTGAGGATGAGGGATCACAAAGTAGGTGATCCTTTTACATGCTGCTTCCTCTGTCATCCCGGTGAACTCCTACATATCCTTCAGCACCCAGCTTAAAAATCCCCTTCTTGCCGAAACCGGTTTGGCTCAGTGGATAGAGCGTCGGCCTGCGGACTGAAGGGTCCCAGGTTCGATTCCGGTCAAGGGCATGTACCTGGGTTGCGGGCACATCCCCAGTAGGAGATGTGCAGGAGGCAGCTGATCAATGTTTCTCTCTCATCGATGTTTCTAACTCTCTATCTCTCTCCTTTCCTCTCTGTAAAAAATCAATAAAATATATTAAAAAATAATAATAAAATAAAATAAAAATCCCCTTCTTGCCTGGCCAGAATGGCTCAGTGGTTGAGTGTCGACCTATGAACCAGGAGGTCAGGATTTGATTCCCGGTCAGGGCACATGCATCGATCCCCAGGAGGGGACGTGCAGGAGGCAGCCAATAAATGATTCTCTTTCATCATTGATGTTTCTCTCTCCCCCTTCCTCTCTCTGAAATCAATAAAAAATATTTTTAAAAAAAAAAAAAACCTTTCTCTGGGAAGTCTTCTTTGATACTCCCCAGTCCCCCTCCCTGCTCATTTGGTTCTATTTGTCCTTCATACTCCCAGGTCCCCCATATTTCCATTCATTTATCTGACAAGCATTTATTGAGCTCCTACTGTGTACCAGCCACTGTCCCAGAAACTGGGATTCAGCCAGTGAATTAGCTAAACACAATGCCTCTCTTCATGTACGTTTCCCCCTGGTAATTAGACAAGTTTAATAAGGGGGGGCGGGGCGGGAAACAGAGGAATCAGATTGTGATCCACGCTGGCAAGGAAATAGACAGGGTAAGGAGATTAGAGAAGGCCTCTAGGAGGAGGTGACACTGAAGCTGAGACCTGAAAGAGGAGCTGGATATTTCAAGACCCAGTTGGGGAAGAGTGTCCCAGGTAGAGAGAAAGGTAAGGGCAAAGGTCTTAGCAAGAAAAGGTTGGATTAGATCAGAAAGGGGGGGCGCTCCAGCAGAACGAGCAAGAGAGTGATGAGCGGAGGAAGACGGTGAGGTCAGCCAGGGCAGCGGCAGGGCCTTGTGGGCTATCCAGGGCCCAGGCTCTGTTCCAAGAACGCGGGGCGCACAGGAGGGTTCCGAGCCGGTGGGGACAGGGGGCAAGGGGCGAGGCCAGGGCCCTTGGTATTGAGGTCAGCGGGGTGCCCCCCCCCCAGCCTAGGAGGTTCCCTGTCCTCCAGGCGCTGCCATCGGGGCTCAGGGCCGGCCCACGGGGGCCTCGCGTAAATGAATGACCAGGCACCTGCGGAAGTGGCCGGGCCGGGGAGGAGAATGACTCATAGATATGCTTTTCCATTTTAGGGGATTTGCTTTGGAGGAAGATGCAAAACCAGGGATAGACAATGCAAATACATCTGGGGGCAAAGTAAGTAAACAGTGTGGCCCAGTCATTTCAAGGTGTGCTATCAGGCCAAGGGTCATGTGAGCAGGAAGTAAATTTTCAACCACTTTAAGAGTGAGGGATTCTTCAAACCACCACACGTCTTAGCAGGGGCACTTTTATGGAAATTAGAGAAGGGCACTTCTGAGAAGACACAGCCCTACACATCTTGGGTAGTTGGCAGTGCCTCTGGATGAGACAGATGGTGTCTTCACTGCCAGGCAGGTGAAGTCCTTGCCAGGTGTGCAGCTTGGAGAACGGAACAAACGTGGATTTTAGCTCCACATATGCTCTCCACAGCTGAGTGTCCTTAAGCAAAACCTGTACAACCATATGGGATGGACGTGGACCCTGGCTAGGGAGCTGTAGCCTTGGAACTGTAGCATTTTCGCTAGACTTGTTTTTTCTCCCTCAACTATCTTTCTTGACCTCTAGCTGGCTTTTCTACTTATTGGTGACCTGCTGGAGTGGCTCTGCTGTATCAGAGAGAAATTTTAATGTTATTCCCTTTAAAGTTTGTCAAATTTTCATAGGGAATTATATATCAATTATATCTAGAACATATTATTGAAATTATATATTTATATTTAAAATATATTTAAATGTATTTTTTCCAGAACTATTATCTGCCCCTTTGAAAGTAGTTTTTTGTTTTAGAGTAGTGGTTCTCAACCTTCTGGCCCTTTCAATACAGTTCCTCATGTTGTGACCCAACCATAAAATTATTTTCGTTGCTACTTCATAACTGTAATGTTGCTACTGTGATGAATCGTAATGTAAATATCTGATATGCAGGATGGTCTTAGGCGACCCCTGTGAAAGGGTCGTTCGACCGCCAAAGGGGTCGCGGCCCACAGGTTGAGAACCGCTGGTTTAAGACCTGCCCAAGGCCACAGTCGGATTTGAATGCGGGCCTGGCGGGCTCAGGCACCCACCCTTAGCCAGCCAAGCTCTGCCACCTCTCGGCGACCACCCTCCGCCTTTTGTTGGGCCGCTCATGAAGTTTGCATTTGTTCGCCACGGGCTGGACGCTCTTTGCATCCGCTAGACAGCCTGTCCCTTAATTTTCCTTCCACACTCATCCCATAATCAGTGGTTCTCAACCTTGGCTGCACATTAGAATCACCTGGGAATCTTTTTAAAATCCTGATTTCTGGGCCTCCTCCTCCGGAAATTTTGTTTCTTTGTTACTAGTGTTGTGGCCCCACCCCATAACAAAGAAACAGAATTTCCGGAGGATGAGGCCCAGAAATCAGGATTTTAAAAAGATTCCCAGGTGATTCTAATGTGCAGGCAAGGTTGAGAACCACTGCCGTAGATCATCAGGTTACCTGTGGGCTTCACCCCCGGAAGAGATCCAGGATCTGTCACCTCTCACTTCATCACGCCCGGTCCCGCTGTTCCTCCATTTCTCCTCTGGTGTTTCTCAACAACCTCTCCATGGGGCTCCTTGCTTCTCCTCTTGGCCCCTAGTCCATCTTCCACCCAGCTGTCAGAGGGTCCTATTAGCATGTAAATCCAACTATGCCACTCCTCAAAGCAGTCCCAATAGTTCCCATCTCACTAAAAGTAAAAGCTTAGAAAAAGCCTGTGAAGTGCGTCCTCTCCTTTGACTTCTCCCACCTGGCTCACTGCATTCCAGCCCCACTGGCCTCTAGGTTCGACACACCCACCTCAGGGCCTTTGTCCCATAACCCACATATCTTCATGGCTTGCTCTCTCCCTTCATTTTGGTCTTTACCCGAAAGTCTTCCATGTCCACTCTACCTGAAATTCATATACACACCTACATGTAGCATTTCATAGCCTCTTTCCTGGCTTCATTCCCCCCTCCCCGCCCCCCTAAAGCATGTATCATTATGTAACAGCATATTTTATTTATCTTGGTTTTTTTGTCTGTTTCCCTCTTCTAGAGGGCAGGGACTTTTGACTGCTTTGCTCACTGCTGAGTTCCTGGTGCTTAAGGATCATATATTAACTAGAGGCCCAGTGCACGAATTCGTGGACAGGTGGAGTCCCTCCGCCAGGCCAGCGATCAGGGCGATTGAGGCCATCGGGGCCAGCTGGCAGTGTGGCGGGGGTAGGGGCCCTGGGAGGTTGGCTGGCCAGGGGGAGGGGCTGCAGGAGGTTGGCTGTGGGAGCACCCTGACCACCAGGGGGCAGCTCCTGCACTGAGCATCTGCCCCCTGGTGGTCAAGTGTGTGTTATAGTGACCAGTCATTCTGGTTGCTTAGGCTTTTGTATAGATTGAATCACTTTCACCTGTGATCACTTTCCTTTTGCCTGAAATGTATTCTTTAAAACCGAGGTTCTCAACTAGACTGTACTTTTGAATCACCTGGGGGAGCTTTAAAAAAATCCTAAAACCCCGCCCTAACCGGTTTGGCTCAGTGGATAGAGCGTCAGCCTGCGGACTGAAAGGTCCCAGGTTTAATTCCGGTCAAGGGCATGTACCTGGGTTGCGGGCACATCCCCAGTAGGAGGTGTGCAGGAGGCAGCTGATCGATGTTTCTAACTCTCTATCCCTCTCCCTTCCTCTCTGTAAAAAATCAATAAAATATTTTTTTTAAAAAAATCCTAAAACCCCACCACATCTCAGGTCAATTGCTTCAGAAACCCTGGGGGTAGGCCCAGGTGTCAGGAGTTTTTACCAATGTCGCTGTCTGGTGTTCCTAATGAGAAGCCAAGTTTAAGAACCACTGTTAAGGAAAGGCTTCTGGTGACAAAGTTTCTTGGGTTTTGTTTGAAAATATTTATTTAGAACTCATTTTGCTGTTGTTGTTGTTGTTGTTAATTCTCATTTGAGGATATATTTTTCCATTGATTTTTAGAGAGTGTGGAAAGGGGGGCAGAGACAAAGAGAGAGAAACATCAATGTGAGGGAGACACATTAACTGGTTGCATCCTGCACATGCCCCGACCGGGGCAGGGGATCGAACCTGCAACCGAGTTACGTGCCCTTGACCCTTCAGTCTGTGGGCCAACGCTCTAACCACTGAACAAGCCAGCTAGGGCTTGACCTCATTCTTGAGAGACGTTTTCACTGGGTATAGAATTCCAGCTGGCATTCCAGCACCTTGGAGATAGCACTCCGCTGTCTTCTAGCTTCTGTGGTTGCTATTGAGACATCATCACCTGTCAGTCTGACTGCTGTGAGTTTTTTTAACAGTTTTATTGCAATGTAATTTATTTTCTTTTTCTTTTCTGCAATGTAATTTATATACCATAAGATCCACCTATTTAAAGTGTACAATTTAATGGTTTTAAGTACATTTAAAAGTTGTGCAACCATCACCACAATCCAATTTTAGAACATTTTTATCACCTTTTTAAAAAACAAAAAAACCAGTACCCAATTGCAGACACTCCCCATTGCTACCCTCCAGCCCTCAGCACAAATCTACTTTTGGTCTCTATAGATTTTCCTATTCTGGACATTTTATATTAATTAAATCTTACCATACATGGTCCTTTGTGACTGCCCTTCTTTCACATAGCATAATGTTTTTTTGATGTTCATCCATGTTGTATGGCTGTTCTTTTGAAAATAATCTAGTTTTCCTTTCTGATTCTTTTAAGATTTTATCTTTGCTCTTTTTGCATTTTCACTATGATGTATCTATGTGTGAAAACTTATGGAGTCTCTTGAATCTGTGATTGTTGTCTGATTTCTATCTCAGTAATGTCCTTTTTAGCCACGTCTAATCTGCTGTTTAACCCATCTTTTGGATTTTTAATTTTGGTTATTGTGTCTTTTATTTTAGAAGATCTGTTAGGTTTTCAAATCTGTTATGTCACTTAATATAATCCCTGGTCATAGTATCAAGTTTGTTATTTATTGAAGCCCTGTTAGTAAACATTTTTGATTTCTAACTTGTGCACCATAATATGCTACCTGAACTCTCTGAGCATCTGTTTCTGCTTGTTTGCACTCCTGTTGCCTTGTTTCTCCTGCTGACCCTGCTGGTGTGTGACGGTCATGTTCCCTGCAGCCCTGAGGTCACCTGCACAAATCTGATTAGGGTAGATATATTCTTTTGGTTGTTCTGGTCTTAGCCTTGGCCCTTCAAGGGCAGACACCCTTCATCCCAGTGGGTAAACTCCAGTCATTCAAACCTGGGTTCAGTCCCACGGTTCACTATCTATGTGACTCTGGACAAGACATCCCCCCTCTCTGGGCCTCAGTTTTTCCCTCTGTACAATGATGATCGGAGGTTGGCTGGCCAGGGGGAGGGGCTGCAGGAGGTTGGCTGTGGGAGCACCCTGACCACCAGGGGGCAGCTCCTGCACTGAGCATCTGCCCCCTGGTGGTCAAGTGTGTGTTATAGTGACCAGTCATTCTGGTTGCTTAGGCTTTTGTATAGATTGAATCACTTTCACCTGTGATCACTTTCCTTTTGCCTGAAATGTATTCTTTAAAACCGAGGTTCTCAACTAGACTGTACTTTTGATACCAGGCCTCAAGGACCAAGGACAAGGCTGGCTATCACATGTCAAATGAGATAATGTGCGTAAAGCACGTAAAACCATGCCTGGCATGTGGTATGTGCTCACAGTAAACATTAACCATTCCTAATAAGGGTCCTGGCTTTGCCCTAGGCATGTAGGATCTACACAGTAACCACTTTCATTCAATCATTCAGCAGCTGTGTCAGGCACTACTCTAGGAGCTGGGGACACAACTGCAAACAAAACATAGTATGAAACTAACACAAACAAACATCTAGAATGTTCTGCCAGGTGGTGCAGAGTGTTATGAACAACCACAAAGGCAAGGAAGGGGAGAGAATGATGAGAGGACGAAGGTATAGGTCTTTCCCCATAAAGCTGGTACGACAGTAGTGGTGGCTCAGAATTTGGCCTCTAGTAAAGCCCTCCCACACCTGTGACCCCATCCTAGCCTCACAGGCAGGTAGAATTTATACCCATTTTACACCTGAGCCGGAGTCAAGCATAGAGAAGGAGCGGAAATGAGCTCTGAGTTCCAGAAACATCAATGTGAGAGAGACACATTAACTGGTTGCATCCTGCACATGCCCAGACCGGGGCAGGGGATCGAACCTGTGGGCCAACGCTCTTGAGAGACGTTTTCACTGGGTATAGAATTCCAGCTGGCATTCCAGCACCTTGGAGATAGCACTCCGCTGTCTTCTAGCTTCTGTGGTTGCTATTGAGACATCATCACCTGTCAGTCTGACTGCTGTGAGGTTTTTTAACAGTTTTATTGCGATGTAATTTATTTTCTTTTTTTTCTGCGATGTAATTTATATACCATAAGATCCACCTGTCTAAAGTGTACAATTTAATGGTTTTAAGTACAATTAAAAGTTGTGCAGCCATCACCACAATCCAATTTTAGAACTTTTTTATCACCCCTTAAAAAATATAAAAAACCCGGTACCCAATTGTAGACACTCCCCATCTGCCACCCTCCAGCCCTCAGCACGAATCTACTTTTGGTCTCTATAGATTTTCCTATTCTGGACATTTTATATTAATTAAATCTTACCATACATGGTCCTTTGTGACTGCCCTTCTTTCACATAGCATAATGTTTTTTTGATGTTCATCCATGTTGTATGGCTGTTCTTTTGAAAATAATCTAGTTTTCCTTTCTGATTCTTTTAAGATTTTATCTTTGCTCTTTTTGCATTTTCACTATGATGTATCTATGTGTGAAAACTTATGGAGTCTCTTGAATCTGTGATTGTTGTCTGATTTCTATCTCAGTAATGTCCTTTTTAGCCACATCTAATCTGCTGTTTAACCCATCTTTTGGATTTTTAATTTTGGTTATTGTGTCTTTTATTTTAGAAGATCTGTTAGGTTTTCAAATCTGTTATGTCACTTAATATAATCCCTGGTCATAGTATCAAGTTTGTTATTTATTGAAGCCCTGTTAGTAAACATTTTTGATTTCTAACTTGTGCACCATAATATGCTACCTGAACTCTCTGAGCATCTGTTTCTGCTTGTTTGCACTCCTGTTGCCTTGTTTCTCCTGCTGACCCTGCTGGTGTGTGACGGTCATGTTCCCTGCAGCCCTGAGGTCACCTGCACAAATCTGATTAGGGTAGATATATTCTTTTGGTTGTTCTGGTCTTAGCCTTGGCCCTTCAAGGGCAGACACCCTTCATCCCAGTGGGTAAACTCCAGTCATTCAAACCTGGGTTCAGTCCCACGGTTCACTATCTATGTGACTCTGGACAAGACATCCCCCCTCTCTGGGCCTCAGTTTTTCCCTCTGTACAATGATGATCATGATGGTCCCTCCCTCATAGGGTTGCTGTGAGGATCTGTATCAGTTATTGGTTATTGATATGCAACAAATTATCCCCAAACTTAGCAGCTTAAAACAACAGTTTCTATGGATTAAGAATTTGGGAGTAGTTTCTTATGTCATTTGACTAAAGGTCTTTCATGAGGTTGCAGTTAAGATTTTAGCTGGGGCCTCAGTCATCCGAAAGCTTGATTGGGGCTGGAGGATGAACTTTCAAGAAAGCCCACTCATATGCCTGGCTGGTGCTGGTCAGTGCAGGATGCCTATGTCCCTCACCACATGTACCTCTCCATGGGGTGACTTGAGTGTCCTAGTCACATGGCAGCTGGCGCTTTCCCCAGAGCAGATGATATAGGCATCAAGGCAGAAGCCACAGTCTATTTTATGGCCTAACATAAAAAGTCATACTTCATCATTTCACAGTCTCCTATTAGTGACACTGGTCAGCCCAGCTCAGGGTGGGAGGGGACTACACAAGGGCATGGATACCAGGCCTCAAGGACCAAGGACAAGGCTGGCTATCACATGTCAAATGAGATAATGTATGTAAAGCACGTAAAACCATGCCTGGCATGTGGTATGTGCTCACAGTAAACATTAACCATTCCTAATAAGGGTCCTGGCTTTGCCCTAGGCATGTAGGATCTACACAGTAACCACTTTCATTCAATCATTCAGCAGCTGTGTCAGGCACTACTCTAGGAGCTGGGGACACAACTGCAAACAAAACATAGTATGAAACTAACACAAACAAACATCTAGAATGTTCTGCCAGGTGGTGCAGAGTGTTATGAACAACCACAAAGGCAAGGTAGGGGAGAGAATGATGAGAGGACGAAGGTATAGGTCTTTCCCCATAAAGCTGGTACGACAGTAGTGGTGGCTCAGAATTTGACCTCTGATAAAGCTCTCCCACACCTGTGACTCCATCCTAGCCTCACAGGCGGGTAGAATTTATACCCATTTTACACCTGAGCTGGAGTCAAGCACACAGAAGGAGCGGAAATGAGCTCTGAGTCCCTAAGGAATCAGGATTTCTCCCACTACAGAGGTTCTCCAACTGGAATGCACAGCCATCACGGAGAGGCTGTTAGGAGGCGCACACACATACACACACACACACACACACACACACCCCATCCCACATCTGACTCACTAGGTCTGGGGAGAGCATAAGGACCTGCATTTCTTTTTATTTTTAAAAATGTATTTTTATTTATTTCAGAGAGGAAGGGAGAGAGAGATAGAAACATCAATGATGAGAGAGAATCATTGATCAACTGTCTCCTGCTCACCCCGCACTGGGGATGATTGAGCCCCAAACCTGGCCATGTGCCCTGACCGGGAATTGAACCTTGACCTCCTAGTTTGTAATAGGTCGACTCTCAACCATTGAGCCACACCAGCCCAGCAAGTATCTGCATTTTTAAGCAAGCACCCCAGGGGGCACCCCAACCACATCTGAGAAACCCTGTTGTGAGGGCTTTGGTGAAGCAGGGGCAGGAAGGCCTGCTCTGACAAGTGCCAGAGGAGGCTCCAGGCCCAGCCTCAAGGAAGGGAACAGACTGAGGCCCGGAGATACCGCACAGCTCGACGCCAGGCGCTGAGTTCTCAAGTACGACAGACAGGCCACCCTCCTTCTTCCTCGGGGCATAGATGTCTCTAATGTGACAGCAGGGACAACAGAGCCAAGAGGCAGAAAGAGACTGGGAGCCGTTCCTGCATCAGCCAGCCCTGAAACCACCCTCCTGTTGACGTCTTGCTTTGTGTGAAATACATTTCCTTCTGCTTTAAGCTACTTTGACTCAGGGTTTCAGGTACTTGCAGCCAAAATTGACCCCAGGTGAGACCCATAGCCTCCAGAGCAGTGGTTCTCAACCTTGGCTGCACATTAGAATCACCTGGGAATCTTTTTAAAATCCTGATTTCTGGGCCTCATCCTCTGGAAATTCTGTTTCTTTGTTATGGGGTGAGGCCACAACATTAGTAACAAAGAAACAGAATTTCCGGAGGATGAGGCCCAGAAACTAGGATTTTAAAAAGATTCCCAGGTGATTCTAATGTGCAGCCAAGGTTGAGAACCGCTGCTCCAGAAGAAAGGGAGGGAGTGCAGAGGACTCGCCGTGGGGCTGGTTTGGGAAAACGGATGAGAGACCAGAAGAAACGCCCGGGAGAAATAAAAGTATTCCAGAACTCCTTTATTAGGCACAAGGTAAAAATATATACTCGGAGCATCCAAAACCTACAGTGCTGATGTGGGGTTCTGGACCCCAAGTGTCCCCAGAACTGGACTTAGGACTTTCCAGGAGGCCAGGGGCAGACCCCACCTAATCCTGTCCCCCAACTCCAGTCAGCAGCTCGGGTCACGGCTGCTGAGGCGGACAGGCCTGGACCCTCATTCCCAACCACTCCTTGAGCTGGATGAGGACCCGCCTCACAGTTTGGACTCTTGATCTTCCAGCCCAGACCCTTGGCTCAGGCCTGGACAGAGGATCCCCTGACCAAGAGGACACAGCGGCTGGAGCGGAATTCGCAGCAGGGCCTGGGCTCTGGGCCTCAGGTGCAGGGGAGAGGCCTGAAGGCTAGGACCTATCACTTTTTTTATCCTCACCTGAGGATATGCTTATTGACTTTACAGAGAAAGGAAGGAAGGGGGACGGGGGTGGGGGAGAGGAAGGGAGAGAGAGAAACATTTATCAGGGATCAGACCCGAAACCTTTTTGTGCCCTTTGGCACAGGACGCTTCCCTTTCTCAGAGGTGCAACATACAAAGGCAGCTGGGTGGGTTGTGAAAGGGACTGTCCATGACAGCAGTGCGGGGTGCCAGCACGAGTGGACGCCGTCACCTGCACTGGTTGTACCCAGCCCAGTGCAGACACTGGCCTGTGGGGATGGAGAAGGACTGACAGCCCTGTGAGCCGGAGTTTTGTCTCTTGTTCACAGCTGTGTTCTCAGCACCTGGAACAAGGCACAGTGAGCTCCCAACAAAGACTCGTCGAGTGCACCAGCCCGTGTGCACAGGTGTGTGGACCACACAGGCGTGCCTGCAGCACCCTTCAACATGCCTCCTCTTTTCTCCCTCCTACAAGGCACTTAGGGTTTATCTCAGTTCAAAGAGGCAGGAGAGAGCTTGGGGACGCCCCAAACTCAATCCACAGTTCACAGCTGAGAGTCGGGTAGGGTAGTCCTAGCCATATAGGCCCACTTCCCTTTCTCCCTCCTCTGCCTCAACTTCCTCCAGCCCTGGCCCTTCGGGGACCACCTGGTCAGCCTCCCAGAGGTGGGCTCGGGATGGGACTGAGGGGGTCAGGTTCTCTCGCAGCCAGGGGTGCAGCAGGATCCCCGAGGCTGTGAGACGCTCAGCGGGCTCCCGGCGGAGCAGGCAGCGGACG